ATCACACTCTAGATAATCTTCTGACCTCTCACACAACGCTGAACATGGTGACATTCTCACAGTACCAAGCCTTGTTTAAATACATACTGTATCTGTAGTAACACAAGAGTTATGTTTTGGAAGTGGTATTGATCTGTTGACCCCAAACACCGAGGCAATATGTATGTGTCCAATGTAACGTTTATACAATATCGATGAAGATATTTTGATAAAACTTGACAATAATGAACTGTACAGTATTATAACGCACAAGTAAATAACACTACAAGTTTGTTTGTTGTAAACCAAGGTCACAGTTAGATGCTAAAGACCAAAGTTAATAATGGGGGTGATGTTATACTTTTCATGGGAAGTGTTTTGGGGTTTTCTCTCTTCTGTTAACATATCTTTAATATATCATTAGTATGTCAAGCTAATTCCACTTTCTTACATATTTTATTTCTATATTGATCTTTGCTTTTATTTGGATCAAGAACATTGTTACCACAAAATACTGTATCATCACCCTTGTACTTTACATTTCCTCCTCCTCCTCCTTCTCACCAGGTGGAGTTTGCTACATATTTTGTATCATCTATATTTATCTTAACAAAAATTTTTATTCACCTGATTCCAGGTTTATTTTATCCTCGTGCTGTTAAAACTACAGAAAAAGACAGTCTTTCTCTCCTGCTTGTCTCCAGAAACAGTGCCTTTATAGCATTATTTGTCCCTCCCAGAGATAACAACAACATGATGAAGGGAACTCTCAATGTTTCATACAGTTCAGTACTGAGACACCAGTCATCCCTACAACAGGGTACAGTATCCTTTGTGTACTGCATCACTATCTAAGTTATCTCACAAGACAGTTCCTCTACCGAGTCTCTCATGATCAAGCTTGTGTTTACATTATTCCAGTGGTCAAACAGCATCCCTGCCTCACTCATTCTCATCACTATAAACAACTTTCTTCGGTATAACTGTCTTAGTAATTCACATATCTGGTATCAGAGTTGAAGTCCAAGCTTACTTCACACTTCCTGTATCTTCAAATTACAATCCTGTACTTCCTCTTGTAATATAACCTTCACATTGCCAGTAATAATTTCCACAAGATGTATACTGTAATAACTTTTCATTTCTGGATATATTGTATTACCACAAAACTACATCAGCAAGTGGACACTCCCACCTTAGCTTGTGTCTGGAAGTTCAACAAGACCTTAAATTCACTCACTGTGTACCATGTGGCAATACATTATAGTACACTACTGTGTCTCCCTCCCATCCCTAGCCATAACTTTCCTACACTATTATTCATTATCTTATTTATTTCCTCATTCACCGTTATTTACATATTTCATCACCCTAATTATTTCCCATATTCAGCCTAGTTATTTTTCACTAAGAATTTTCCCTCGTAATAAGTAAGAGAAGACCCAAGACTCTCCTGTACGTTGGAGGTTTAAGTCCACAGAGTCACTTTTAGTGTGGGTTTCCTGTTCTTCTATGTTTATTCCCATTTACTCTACACTGTGGTTCCTATTATATAATTTCCTGTATCTTGTCTGCTCTGAAATTGTCACATATTCCCCGATTGTTGACTGTATGTTAATGACCCTTGCAAGTTATTACGGTACTTCAAGAATTTTAAGTGATGTGACCTGATCTAACCTGAACTTAAACTTACCTAACCTAACCCAACCTGAACTTACCTAACCTAGTAATACAGTCCTGTGTAATTTTCTCCTTCACGGTTAATGCTTTGTTTACAGAATACACAGCATCAACAGAGCACACAGTAGGCAAATTAACGACATTAGTCACCGAGTTAAAATATATTGCTGGGAGTAGACCAAAGGGGTAATTTACCCACTTACCAATAATGCCAGGCAGGTGAGAGAGAATTAGCACTGGTGTCTGGGTTTTTTCTCCAATGGTTGTTTAATGCTGACTGTGTGAAGTGTTAACAGGAGTACAGTAGGAGTGGATGATACCACTGTGTGTGTGTGTGTGTTAGCTCTGATATTTGTCACTGTCCACCTTGCATTAAAGAAACCAGCTTTAAATGTGAGAAAATGTAGTATAAATTTTTTTTGTATATTTAAGGTAAACACTAAGGTAAGAGTAGCTCACATCATGGAACACCCCCCCCCCCCAGTAAAAAACCTTGTTATCAACTTCTCGTATACGTCGTTCATTTTATTATTCTACAGACAGACACACACACACATACTGTACAAACAAAGAGGGTTTTTCTTGTTTCCATTATGATTTAGGATACTGTATACAAAACTGTTTAACTTTATTTTTCTTTATTATTATACAATCTTGAGTCGTATGCTTGTTGGTCTAATATTATGCTCAGTGTTGTGTGTTCAATAAATAATAGTTTAAAAAATCCCAATTACTGAAAAGTTTTTCCTTTGACAAATTTTTTTTACTAAAAACCATATGTTTATGTTCAGTAACAAGTGGTAGTGTAACAAAAACTTTCAAAGGCAGGTAAGCAGTGGACGACAACAGCAGCTACCATCTATCAAGCTCATCACAAATCAAACTTAACAAAAGTGATTACTGTATCTCTATGACCTTAACCCATAAGTTATTCTGCTTCTTCCAATATTCAGGTTAAGGAAGTACTGTACAACAGTTATAAGATATGCGAGATCCTCCACCGACATGATCCACGGAGTCTGGTCACTGTGTGTTGGCCATTGGTACCCAATTTAGACTATGTCGGCGCTGCATGTGAGATTTTACATTCCACTTAAGGAGGCTGCGGAAAGGACAAAAGGGGCACTTGTGAGGTTTCTCCCCGGTGTGGATGCGCATGTGACGCTTGAGGTGATCACGACGGCTGCTGGCCCGCCCACACACGGGACAACGCAGTTGTCCGCCCTCATCACCCCTATGTTCACCCAATGGGTCGCCCATTGGTTCACACACCAGCATCCTTCCTGCTTCTTCTAGCTGCAAAGAAACAGCCTCCATCAGTAGTGGACCTAATGTGGGACTGAGCCACCCATGGCTGCTGTAGAGTCCCAGTACAGTACTCTATGTCTCAAGTCTTTAATGCCTTCACAGCCACACTGAATACACTTACTGTATTCAAATTTATAGAAATGCATAACATGCAAATTTTCTGTTTTATTCAATCCAAACATCTACTGTGCTGTGCTGTGTTCCTATAGGGCCGTTGTTTATAGTGTCCATATGGCAGATACAGTATCCAAACATAGCATTCATACACTCACCACAAAAAATTCTTGAAGATAATTTATATTCATGATAAAAAAAATATACTACTGTACTGTACAGTACCGTGTGGTATTAGCCACAAGGTACATTACACTCTTGTTGTTACATCTGACCTCTTTAACATTCAGTAGCAACTTCGACTTTTGACATGACACCTGAACTAGATGTTCTGTACCTTATCGGGTGATGATCCATGTTGAGATGTGACCTCTACTGTGCATGGTGAAGTGTGAACACTTACAACCATCACCCTCCTCCACAAAGAACGAGGGTCTTGTTCTCTCATGAATGATTCTCTGTTATTTAACTTCCTATAGTTATAGTTGGGACAGATTAATTTAACCCAAAATTCTTGTATATCTTCCAAATATTTTCTTTTTCATTTGTATGTAAAATAATACAATGCTGGTAATGTTAGAGAGTTTCAAAAGTTAGACATCACATACCTGTATAACCCACGAAGGAAGTCTACCTCCATCCAAACACTCTCATGAGAAACACAAAATATAAAAATACTGAACAAACACAGTATGTTAGTGTACAAAACTGTACAGTACTAACAAACACAAGTACATACATCCATAATGCTCCAGCAAGTTGATTTCATAACTTGGCAACTGGCAGTTCTGGACTAACAACCAATTAATTCACCCCACCCCCAACATTTTTTTCACGAGTCAGGAAGATTCAGCGATATCTGATGAGGTTTTGTGAGGAGTAGTGTTTAGCAGCAGCCATTCCTGTGAGCCGATCGTTCTTATATTAAGATAACGTAATCATTTAATTCACCATTGCATAGTTTATAAAGTCCATATAAAACTTCCAGGTAACATAGCTTGAAGCTACCAATGGTGTTTTGTTTTGTTCTGTCAGTTAATCAAAGAAAATAAAGTATTGCTCGAGTTCTTGATCAATTCTTTTAAGCAGTGGCTGAACAAATGTTCTCTTAAAGGACAGATTGTGCTGCCTGGACGTGTGTTATGGAGAGTTGAAGGTCAGTGTGTATGGATAGGTCAGGTACCAATGAGGTGGGCTGAGATTACCCCCCTACCCCCATAAAAGGTTAGGTTAGGTTTGATTTGGTTAGCATCCACAAGGATAGGAGGAGAGCAGACTGTAGAACTCCTACTGTAACCAACATGGAACAGAAAAACAAATAAAAAATCCAGTGTACAGCCAAAGGAAGGTACGCCTTTGTGTGACTGACAGCGAGTATGTTCAAGCTTAATTTACTCAGTACAATATGGATAACCATGATAAATTTAACTGTGATAAGAAGAGTAAATACACCCCTAACACTCCCATTTACATCTGTAATAAGCGGAGAGAGACATGGGACACAAGGGACCTCCACAATTGAGAAGAATGAGGAACAAAGGTGGTGAATGATGTTGAGGTCTAACTAGAGGGAACTTGCTTGATGGCAGGATTAAAATGGCTAGTGCTAAAACTGGAGGGGAGGGAGGAAGGGGAACTGGGCAGGAAGGAGCACAAATGTTCTCCTTTCGCCGTGAGATCCCTGACAACACCTCGTAACAGAAGGCGAGGTAAGCCGTGCACACTAGGCATATCTGTGGTCGTCAATCACACAATTTCCTTCTACAGTAATTCTATCACTTTGTTTACATGCACACTCACTTTATCCTTGCCTTTACTTAAACAGTACCTTTAAATGCTCACTCAAAAGAATCAATTAAAATACACACTAAAATACTGTAATCATAAACAGTTAGGATGGTGTGATAATAAATTTAACACCCCTTTGTCACCTTTATTTATTACAATAATTTTAACAATGGCTTTACATTTAACATTATAAATGAAGAAAAATAGAGCATAAGCTGTCTAATTTTGACACTATACAAGAGGAGGTAAACTGAAGTGGTGATAAAGTCTTGTAACCTTAGAGAGGACATCATTGACACACACAGGCATGACAAACAGAGGCTGGGTCCAGCCCAACCCCCTCTGACCAACACAATTACTGAAATATAAAGCTCCTAAAACCAATATGATCTTTAATTAATTTCCACATAATATACACTAACTCACATCACCAATGACAGTTAATTCATAATAAAAATAGTTTGTCACGAACACTATTATCAATGCATCCAGTCAACGTATTATCCATTTTGTCGATGACTCCAGAATCACTGTAAAATCCCACGCCTCTTAATAAAGGCACTGTAGGAACCATTCCAGCGGCACCGAAACATCGCACCCGGCCACATACTGTGTCTATCACTTCAGATATTTTGAGAAAAGTTAAGACGGTTGCCATTATATCTCTGTCAATCAGTTGTTATATGAGCATTACAAACTTGTGTCACAGCACTTAGTTAAGAAGTAAGATACTAACATAAAGAAACAAAATAACTAAACAGGCTGTACATCCCACTCCACAAACACTCGCCCAGCATCCCGGCACGTGCGTAATTGTTCTCTAATAAACCTCGTCCACAAATATGAAGGTACAGTACAGGATCAAAGGCTTTTCCATGACTTAAGAGGAGGACTTGTGAGCAGTTCAAGATAAGTAAAAAAAAAAAATTACTTACATGTTTTATGCCAGTGAGACCAACACAGTGAAGCCATTACCAATTTTAGCATCTATGGATCACCTGAAGATTAGGCCCCCCCCTCCCTGATTAACCAGCCTAAAATTTACCCCCCTAAAAAACTATCTGCCCAGAACATTTTCAGCGCGGTACAACCTCGGCACATGACATGAGAGTTAGGATATAAACACGACTGCCGACAGCACATTAAAACAAACCAGATCACTAAAAATTCATTATATCACCTCAGATCAGATTAACCATTGGCTCCTCCAGCATGATATGTATTCTCCAGTTTAAAGCAGAAAGTTATGCAGTATATATCCCTTGTTGCATGGTTGGCCTCTTAATAATGCAATGGAGTACAATATCTCTTGTTTGCCATTAACCCATTTACAATACAATATTGTTTATTATTTCAAATTTGAATACATGTACATTACTATGTATTTAGAAGTACTGTGCTATACATTTATTATTGTCAACAAAAATGTCCTGTACATACTGTACCGTATTCTAACAAATTTCCCCCAAATAATTTAACTAAACGTTCACATCTTCCTTTGTTTTATAATACTGTATTTTGTACAGTTCATTAAACTTGTTGTGTACTGTCCACCCTTTACTAACAATCTAACACTGCAAAACAGGTTTGTACATTCATCATTAGCAGGAACAGTACAGTAGTTTACAGTAATGCACAACAGTACAGTGGTGTACACTGCAGTATAGTACAGCAGTGCAAAATACAATAGTATACAGTACTGTATAGTATAGTACAGTACAATGGTATAAAGTACAGTACAGTACAATAATATACTGTACAATATACAGCAGGATGGCACACTACTATTACAGTATTCTTCATCTCTGTTTTCCTCTGTACTAAACCATACCTTCTTAAGCTCTCCCCTAAAAATATATTTTCTACAATATACAGAACTGTCTTATCACATTAGATAACTCAATTACATTTTCAACCCAAGCTTCAGAATGTGCAATGGCAGGTTTTTTTTGTGAATTGAAAAATACACAAATACTGAACAGTACAATACTGTAACTTGAAGGCTCCGACAGGTAGTAATATCTGGCAGACCACAACAATCTAGCCGACTGTGTGAGTGGGCACAACCGTGACACATCTCATAACGTGTTTTTTCATGTTGCTGCGATCGTTAGATCGACGACCACACCGTGGACACCTATAGTTTTTGACACCCGTGTGGACAGTCACGTGCCGGCGGAAGTTGCTGCGGTCATTGGTTCCATAGTTACAGAAGGGACAGCGAAACCGTGCAATAGCTGAAGGCGAGTGTGTGGCACAGTGCATTAGCCACTGGGATTGACCTGTGCAAACTTGGCCACAAATGGAACAGGTGTATGGGCCACAATCGTCACCTGCCACTCCGCCACCTGCCACTCTGCCATCACCCACCTACGGAGAGGAGACACATTGTAGCAGCCGCTTGGACTATATAGCCATATGCACTCTCACCTTTCTAATGCCACCAGCCAACTAAACAATGTATTAACTTTACTTCATATGTTAAACTACTCATATGATCTATAAGGAGACCAGATGTTATCACCAACACCAATAAACTTAATATACTTCCCCACTGTTCTGAACATCGAGGCCTTCAACGACGATACAACCATACAGCTGACAGCTTCCCAAACAACATTACTCTTTGTGTGTGTGTGTGGGGGGGTCAACTGTTAGTAGTCACAATATAAAGATTTAAATTGTGACAATTTACATTATCCCTAATACTGTACATATTTCCTTCCAATTTTGTGATCAACCACAATACTTGTATCCACAGGTCTCCAGCACAAAGAGAAAAGGAACAGTTTGGTGCAAAGATGACTTAAGAAAACAGCTAAGAGTGGCAGAGATAAGCTGTGTGTGTGTGTGTTCAGGCATCTGTTGCTGGCGTTAGTTTCCACGCTGTCTGCATAGAGACCTGGTCAAGGCAACTCAATTGTCTTGCTTCTTAACAGTCACGTGTTCACTGTCACCGAGCCTGATGGCATACAGCAGGCCAAGTCTGGTGTCTCAGAGGCTGACAATCTATCATGAGTGATGTTGAAGAATATTGTATTGTAAAATCATAATCATAGTAAAACTGCAACTACCACTGGCTGCTCCACTGATACTTGACACATAAATTTCACACCCACAAATCATTTGATAAAATATATTTGACTTGGTGTAAAGTATGACTAATGTATATAAGTATACAAAGAGTACTAGACAGAAGCTGCTTTAGGTGTGGCTCAGGAGGCAACAAAAGCACACAGTACAGTATTCCCTTCTCAGAGCCAAGATTAAGTACAGTACAATACAGGCTCAGTATAGCTACAAGCACATAATAGAGGAGATGGAAGCACTATTGTTAATGAAGTTTTATGCAAGTTACAGTTGGCTGGAGCCAAAGAAGCACCACTTCCTCAAGAAAAGGGGGAGGTTACTCGTGCACACACACAAGTACAGTACAGTAGCAGAGTTTAAGCGACATGTTCTTAAGCGACATGTTCTTAAGCGACATGTACTTAAGCTCATCGATGAAGGACGAAGACAAGTAACGATTCCCTAGAAGAATTACTTCAAAAAGGAAGAGACTTGAGCCCTGAGGTTGAAACAGCAAATCACAGAATCTCTTTTTATTTATACAGTATTAAACTCATTCACAGTCTTCCCAAGTGTTCAATAACACATATATCTTGTCATGCAGCTCTTTGGCCAAACAATGTGAAAGTTTGGAAGAACTATGTTTTGTTATAAGAGTAGCAGTACCGTACTGCAAAAAGCATCAGCGTGTCGATGATCAGTTATCATTATTTCATCAAACACAATGTAAATAGAAGTTTGCAGATGATAAGTTACCATACTGTACTCAGAGTAACCTGAGCCTGGACTTAATTCATGATGGCATCCAAGTTGTTGTTCATCCACCCACTACAACATCTCTTACCCAACCTACAGATACTGTATAGGGATAATTTATTACTTAAACACTAACACCTCCAGCTATCACTCCATCACATGTTAACATCAATCACAGAGGAGAGATTCTACCTGCCACTGTTTTGAAAATGTTGCACCATTATAGACACGACCTTTGGAGTGACTACGTTAGAATAACTTCAATACCATCTCAAAAAATCCTTAAAACTATGTAACGTTATTTATAGACCAACTGAGAGAGATTTTGTGGAGTTCAATGTTGAAATTTTTTTTTTAACCTCTTCCCTATTAGAGGCCACTTTAAATATTTGGCTACCAACTTTATATATACAGTACATGTAGTATATACAGTACTGTATATTCACTGTGTACTGTACTATACCTTATCTAATAGTACATGTACACAGGAATAAAAGTATCTAAACAACCATGTATGGTGAACTTCAGAACGGGCATTATGGCTCTAATTGTATCAGGATTGGTATGCCTGAATGTGAAGTGCATTTCTTAGTAATGTCATCACATTTGTAGCTTCTCTTTATGTTACCTTTGGAATTAAATAAATAGTTGCAATATAAACTATTGAAACCAAGATGCCACTGTTTGCTTTGTTTTACTCAGGCTTAGCAGTACTCCAATCGAAAGATATGTTGCCATATAAGAATGCAGGTACAGTACTAATGAATGGAGGTGAGTTGCCACATAGGAGTACAGTATAGCACTGGGAAAGAAGAAAGGCTGCAACAAAATAGTTGACATGTTACAACTGTATACTTGTTTACCTATAATGTAGACTCACACTCTTGTTCTATTTATAAAAAGTAAACAAATGTAATGTTTAAGTTGCCAAGTATTAATGCTTATAATGTTGTCTACATGTGATCCTGTACTGTACTTGCTGGTTCAAAACATAAGATGAGCTCAGCTACACAAGTGCCAACTCCATTTTTAAGAATAGACAAACCTCAGCCGTGTTCCCCTGCTTGAATGATCGCCCTTTTCTGATTACGAGTGGTGTTTGTTTATGTTTCAAAATCATTGTCACACAAGGAACACCACACGAGTCGATACTGTAATTTCCTGTCGTGATATTGGTATTTACTATGGAGAGTTCTGAAGCATTGTGCACAAGCATTATTACTCTCGACAGTGAGAGCTTAAGCTCGTTTTAGTTATTATATTACAGTACAGTACATACATTCAGTGCATGGAATAGAAGTCTTAAAACACTGTCTGGCAACTTGAAATGCACAAGATTCTCAGCTCCTCCATGATATGTTCCATTCATTTACGTATCCTGTTACACCATTAACCATCACAAAACATCAACACTTGGTGGACCAGCTGGCATAATCATTCGTAGAGTGGGGGCTGGTCATGCTTTGTCATTGGTCGTGTGGCCAGCTGGGCTAGTGCATTCATAGAATTGTTTTCCATCCTCTGAATTGAAATCAGCAGCAGACTAACCCAGCTTGGCTAGCCAGTGAGCTTAAACATCTTGAAAACATTTATTTTCAGTGCACTGGTCTGTATCACTTTGTACTGCCCACATTAGTCTTTCCTCACTCGGAAAGAATTGTAGACTAACCAAGTGTACTGCCCCCTCGTTACACCCCCAGAGACACGTTAATTTTACCTAGTACCCGCTGCAAGAGTTACATTTTCTCTAATTGTAGTAGTAGCTCATCTTCATTTGTGATTTGTATGTTATTCAAATATAATTTATATTGTATATTATTAATCTGACAATATTTCCTGTCCTGGCTATAGTGGAGTGAATATGTAGGGTTGGCACATGGCATGACAAAGACATCTACCTTGTGGGAAGTATTAAGCAAGGTCACCCTCACTTGTTGCAGCAGTAGCCTGGTGTAGTCTACATATTCCTGTGTGCATTAACCTTAACTAATATTTCAGAGTGTGTCCTGATTAATGGGTTAAAGGCGTGAGGTACTGTGTATTAAACTGATTCCATTTGTTGTAATATTCTTAAGTGTATCGAAACAATCGTCCATAAATTATAATACGGAGTGTAGTAGCAGAAAGAAGGAGCAAATAGCTAAGTATCAAAGAAGCGGAAATTCTCAAAAAACTAGACAAGGCTCAGTAAATATACATGATCACTATGGTATAGACGTCTTAAACTAACACCTGTCATCAAAGACAAGAGTCAGCCAAGGTTGTAATCACAGTAAATTTGATGCGAAAAATCACGAAATCTCATAAGAGTAACATCGAGCTACAGAAACTTCCTCCAACTCGAGACCAATTTACATTTTCCAAGGAGAAACATTAAAGGCGCAGTAATACTTGTACTGTATATAGGTAGTTTCATCACCTTTTGGATCAAACTGATGTGCTTAAGAACTGTGGCCGACCAGAGCCCAGTAACACGAAACACAAATAACGCTACGTGATCTTCTGTTGTTACATGTCCCTACCCCATGACCCACCGTTGTGTTACATGTCCCTACCCCATGACCCACTGTTGTGTTACATGTCCCTACCCCATGACCCACTGTTGTGGTACCTGTCCCTACCCCATGACCCTCCGTTGTGTTACATGTCCCTACCCCATGACCCACTGTTGTGTTACATGTCCCTACCCATGACCCACTGTTGTGTTACATGTCCCTACCCCATGACCCACTGTTGTGGTACCTGTCCCTACCCCATGACCCACCGTTGTGTTACATGTCCCTACCCCATGACCCACTGTTGTGTTACATGTCCCTACCCATGACCCACCATTGTGTTACATGTCCCTACCCCATGACCCACTGTTGTGGTACCTGTCCCTACCCCATGACCCACCGTTGTGTTACATGTCCCTACCCCATGACCCACTGTTGTGTTAAATGTCCCTACCCCATGACCCACTGTTGTGTTAAATGTCCCTACCGCATGACCCACTGTTGTGTTACATGTCCCTACCCCACGACCCACCAGCAACACCACACATGACACAAATAAAGCCAAAGGTTTTCCCTCGGGACACAGAGCAACGTAACACCCACCCCAAACAAGGAACAGTACCCCCACGACAGCCAAGTACAATCCCCACAAGAAAAAACCCGCCAGAGTAGATAATAAATTATAGCACAAAACTTTCCCTTAAATCTTCATTTAATATTATGTATTGTGTCTTTGCATAGTCAAAAACGAAAAAAAATTAAATAATGCAAAACTGGTTCAATTTTAATCGCTTAACTTGATTCTGATTTTATTTGTAGTACTGTATATAACCGGTAGATAAAATACACCAAACTTTCACCATAATATTTGCTTTCTTTTTCTCTGTTAAATTTTATACAGAAGTTTCTCCTTACATGAAGAACTAGTACATAGTGTGCACAATGTCATGCCCCCATCATACACTGTTTGGGTTGTGTAAGCTAGTCATAATGCATATAAGTTATGTAACTCTACAGTATAGTACAACACTGCCCCCCCTCCACCTGGCA